CTGCAGATGACTGAAGTAGGTGCCTGTCTAGCTCTCCTGCTTGTCTCTTCCAACCCCATCAGCATTCTGCGGACAGTCATTGAAAAAAACAGAAACCAGCCCTCATCACAAATTTTCTTTGCTTGAAAACATTTAATGGCATCCATTCCTCATCTGATTAAATACATATGCCACAGCCTACTACTCCAGGCTTCTCCTAGCCTCATTTCCACGACTGCTCTCCCACCTCCATTCAAAAGGTCCTGTACACCCTAGCCTTTGCCCGCTCTCCTTCCTCACCCTGAAGTCTCTTCTCGCCCTCATCTTTGCAGGTCCGCTGCACAAGTGACCCATCCAGGCAGGTTTTCCTGAACCTATTTTCCAGGCAGGCCTATCATTGCTTCCACCTCTGAATCCCTTTACATGCTATTCTCTAAATTCAACCAAGCAGTTGTGAACCAGTGAGCAGCCCTGGTGGCATAGTGGTTACCAGCCGGGCTATGATCTGAATGGTCGGCAGTTAGAAACCAAAGACTGGGCTGCTACTCCCATAAACAGTCTTGGAAACCCACGGGGGTGGGGGTGTGTGGCGGTGTCACTATGAGTCAACATGGACTCCATGGCAGTGAGTTTGGATTGGTTGTTCCTGTTACAGGATACTATAATCACAATCTCCTTGGCTATTCATCTGCCCTCTCATGTGTTGCCTAGCTCTATAGTGGGCCCAAACCTGAGGCACCGCCTCACGCCCCCCCCCCCCCAGCACCTGCTATTGGAGATCGATAGATGTACATACTGCCAAGCCCGAGATGATGTCCTGCAGAGCTCTGACCATGGCAGACCCACGCACAGTGCCTGGGATGGAGCTGGTGATGCTATCTCCCCTGAGCCCTAGGGGCATAATGGTTTCGATTTGGGCTGTGATCTACAAGGTCAGCAGTTCAAAACCACCATCTGCTCTATGGGAGACCAAGGGGGCTTTCTACTGCTGTAAAGAGTTCCAATCTGGAAGCTTACTATAGGATTGCTCATTGATCGATGGCAGAGTTAGGGTTTGGTTTGGACAATGCCAGATACTCTTGGCACCAAACCTTTCCACCAGTGGCCTTTCTGCAGGGGGTGGGGAGGTGCTTTTATAAACTCCCTTGCTTTTCTATTAAAGGAGTCTCTGGGGGTGCTAAACGGTTAATGTGCTTAGCTGTTAACTAAAAAGTTGGAGGTTTGAATCCACCCAGGAGTGTCTCAGAAGAAAGGCCTGGTAATTGGCTTCAGAAAAATCCGCCTTTGAAAACCCCGTGGAGCACAGCTCCGCTGTGACACTCATAGAATTGGCTCAGTAGCAACTGCTTTTTAAAATTCCTTATTAAACAAATGGCTTAATAGACACATATAAATGTGTGCACATTTGTATGTATATTATCAGTAAATACGGAGTTCGATATGTATGTTGGACACTCACTATGTGTCAGAATTGAGTGGAGGCAGTGAGAGTCTGAGTTACCAGGGGCCCTGGCGACGACTTGGCTGCTCACTGCAAAGGAGCCCACTCCGGGGTCTGCTGGAGTCCAACCTAGCCAGGGCAGAGCACACAGCTGGGGGACCAGAAAACCTCAGGGGGCAGTTCCATTGTCTCATGGGGTCTCTGACTCACAATCCAGTTGAGAACACCCGACAGAAACAACACACAGTTATAGGCAGTTACAGTGACCAGGCCTTAAGCCCGTTCGAGTGGCGTGGGCACCTTAGGGATGCCGCGTCTCTCCCGGACGGGACGCAGGAGCCCGGGGCCCGG